GTCCCTGTCAAATGAATTAAATTAAATTACTGCTACCACTGTCTGTATTAGAGGGGGAAAAAAATGGTAGGGGTGGCCAATGATTGGCTGAGGGTGGCCATGGCCCCCCATCTACCACCGCCCCTGCATTATATAGCATTAATACATATAAGTGCCTCTGATTTAATTTATTCTCTTGCCAATGCCAGCAAGGCTAAAAAATTGAACAGCAGCCCCCTCTAGTGGCCGGCAGTAACCCTTAACGCCAAATTAAAGACATCAGTTAAAGAAGCCTGATTCTGCCACCCTAATAACCGAAAAAAAAAAACATATATGTATTTATGTACAGCGTTGGAAATAACAAGTTATTTAGTAACAGGTTACAGTAACTATGTTACTTTATAAGAATATAGCACTGGAAATATTTTTTAAAAGTCAGTAACAAGTTAGTTGTTACTATGCTTTAATCAGATTTGTTATTCGTTACCATTTATGCAGAAGGAGTTTCCTGGTGCTACGTTGCCTGGATACGATACGTAACTTCAGTGTGAACACAGAGGAGGGAACATGCTGCAGAGCCACTGATTGAATGACAGCGTTCCTACAGTAAAGCATGGGCGTAGAAAGCACCGGAGACAGGGGGGACATGCCCTCCTGTGATTTACAGATACCCTGCTCTGTCCCCTCCACTGGCTATATGTGTTGGATCCTTCTACCACTACCACAAGGTGTTTGTATTGTTTTTCATAATTTACATTAGTTCCAGTTTTAATTTATTCCATCCGATTTATATTTTCTAATGGCTGCACACTTTAGCTTATGTGTCTGAATGGTTTAACCCACACTTGTTCTTTTCTTTGAGGTTCTGCAAATGCAGATCAGCTGGAGGTGGCAGCCTGGAACAAACCACTTTTCCAAAGGACTGAGGGGGGAATTTTGTTTAAGTTGCCTTAATTATTCTGTTAAAATAATAACAAAGATATATGACTGTATACTAGGAGCAAAGCATTAACTTACCAGTCTAATAATAAAGTTGAGAAAAGAGAGTCGGCTGCAAAATCAATGGCTCAGTGTTGTTTTTCGTCAACGATGGCGAAATTATTTCATTGAAGCTCCTTTCTTTCATGATGATAATGAGAACTGACAAGCTAAACATGAACAGTGACAAAAACATGACGAGTCATGGGTGTGAGTTTTTGTTAACGGGACGAGACTAATTAGAAAATGTAGCAGGTGGTCTGTTAGACGTTTAAAATGTGCTGCTGTTTCCTGTTTGGTCTCAGTGCCACCCAGGCGTGCAGCGCTGCACATTCTGCATGACCACAGATGAACCATGGCAGCAGCAGCAGGGGCGAAAATAGGCTCAACTCTGAAAAACTCTGCTCTTCCAGCTTTGCTTGTACAGATATGCATCTTTGTTAGCTCAGAGTGTTCGCTTTACACTCCACAATGATGGTTCCCTCTCAGCAGTATGGCTCTTCCTGCCCTCACTACTTAATAAAATACGAAGCTGATCATCCTCTGCCAAGCTTAAAAAAATCCTTTTGTCTAACTATTAAGATTTTATTTCTTTCAGCTCATAAGAGGTGATACTAATCATTCTTTAACTTCTATCAAAAGGAATCTCTAAATTATATCCAAAGAAAATATTTTATTGCATTCTGTTTATTTTTTGGATAAAGATCAAGGTGAAAAGGTAAATAGATCTTTGAATATTTCGCTCTCATTGTTCTCGTTTTTGTCTATTTGAATATTTCAGCATTTTAGTTAACATATTGAAATTTAGGTCCCGATTCCCACGGCATTATAAGCCAATATGAATGTTCTCTGTGTTTTTTTTTATGTCAGACCCCAAAGGAATTTAAATCTACTTTAACCCCTGAGCAGCGGTAACCAAAGGGCAAATTCTTTTTTTTTAGCTTTTTTGGAGTGATAGAGATTTTATTGATCTATGTGTAACGCATAATTTATAATAGATCAGGAAGCGTTTGCGTTAATGCACGACACTGCTGATTTGTACTTGTATTTTTGCAAATTTGTAACTATGTGAATTGCATTCATAACTTCTAAACTTGCATTATCATAGATGAAACACCTAATGTCACTTTAGGCAGTAATAAATACAAATCTTGTATTTATTCTTGTTTATTGATTTACATTTACAAAATCAAACACCTATGCAAAAGTTTTTGTTAATTATCTTGACCAGCACAGAAGGAACATAAGACACAAGGAAATAACAGAAACTAAGAACAATAAAGGAAGGAAGGAACCTAAGGGGACCATTAACAAAGGAAGAAGGGGTAAAAAAGATTAGCTTTAATTCATCATGACTAAAATGTGATTGTTTAAGGCTCTTTGTTTATGTTTGACACTAGAGGGCACACTCTCTCCAATGTTTTAATCCCACTTCCACTCTTCCACTCACATGTCATTATAAGGTCAGTTTAGAAGGGTTAATTTATTATCATATTTCATTTATTTTATTAAATAGATAGACTTAAAGGGGTGATAGAATGATTATATAGGGTATTTTGTGCTGGTCTTTAAGGTCTCTGAAAAGGGTGTGTAACATTGGTTGGGCTGAAAATGGCATTTTTGCTGTTCTATGAGCCCTAATGCAAGCCTGATTAGAAGCCCTAGAATGAAACGACAGGTTTTCTTCCTTTTATGGTATGCTCATCAATATTTAGACGAGCTCTGTGCTGATTGGTTGGTTTATAACGAGCGAAGCTGCTGAGCAAAGACGCATCATAGCAACAAGCACTCCCTCACTGAAACATCATATGTCCTCTTTTTCCCGGACATGTCCTACTTTTCATACCTAAGAAAATATCTTGGGGGAATTTAAAATCGTCCAGGATTTTGGTCGACTACAGTGCAACTCCTCCGGCTGAGGACGGGCGGCTCATGGCGCTGTGCAGAGGTCCGGTCCAGTCAGTGGCCCAGCAGTCGACACTTCATACCCCCCCTCCCTTGGGCCAGTGAAGCTGTGGGCTGGTCTGAATCTCAATTTCGGGACGTGAAAAAAGTACAGGCCAGAACCAAATAAGGCAACATCCCCGAATTGACGTCAATTCGGTGATTCGTTTTAGAATCATGAGATTTGCAGAGAAAGGAGGTGTCGGTGGGGTTGGAACTTCTCTGTACGTCCAGCTCATCTAATCTAATCTTTCACCCACTGAACTATTGTTATTCATCTATGACAATGTAACTCAGTTTTGCATTCTACGACCCCTTTAAGATTGGTGTTCATTTTCTCTTTTTCTTCAAAAGTGGACAAAATGTTGAAATGAGATATCCGTTAAACACTCAGAACTCCAGAGAAGCAACTTAAAACTATTTTCGACTCATCAAAAACTCCCTTTGTTTCCGGCTGCCAGTATTAGGTGAGCGTGCCCAGCTGAAGGGTGTGAGTTCCACTGTGTTAAAGAGAATCTGAACTCAACATGTAACCACAGAGCTACTAACATAGAACACTGTGTTTGTACAGTGAGGGTCTCTCTTACTCCTTTTTAAGACTACCACAAAATGTAAATTAACCTTTCAGGTCATTTTAGAGCATTGTTCTGACTTTAAACATGGTTAAAAACTCCTATAATGCTTTTTCATTATATATATGTCTAATGTTGACACTGCTGATCTTAACATGATAACTCTGGAAACTTTTTTTTTTTATATGACTCATTGATGATCTGGCTTGTAACCTATTTCACTGAAAGTGCAAACTTTACGTCTGAAACAGCTGA